GGAATCATACCACAGATTTTTTTTGTGACTGGCTTTTTTCCCTTGGCATAATGCTTTTGAGATTCATCCATGTTGTAGTATACCTCAGGACTTCATTCTTTTCATGGCTAAATAATATTCCATGGTATGGCTCTACTACATTTTGTTTATCCACTCATCTATTGATGGACATTTGGATTGTTTCCACCTTTGGGTATTGTGAATAACTGAATAATGCTGCTATAAACATTCGTGTTTTTGTTTGAACACCTGTTTTCAATTCTTTTGTGTATATACCCAAGAGTGAAGTTGCTAGATCATACAGTTATTCTGTTTAACCTTTCAATAAACCGCCAAACTATTGTCCACAGCAGCTGCACCATTTTATATTCCCGCCAGCAATGTATGAGGGATCCAATTTCTCTGCATCCTTACCAACACTTCTTTCCTGGTTTTTAAAATGTGTTTCTTTATTTACTTACATATAGCCATCCTTGTGGATGTGGAGTGGGCTCTATTGTGATACAGACTGCTGTTTGATTTGGCAGTGGTGCTTTTGGCTTTACTCTGGAATCTCCTGGGTTTGTATTTATTTATTTATTAACAATCTCAATGCCCAGGCTGTACCTGGGGCCAATTTCCTCAGACACTAGGGCTAGGCCCAGGCAGTGGCAGTATGTTTAAAACTCCCAAGGTGATTCCAGTGTGCAGCTGAAATTGAGAATCGCTGTAAAGATCCTAGCCCCCTCTTGCTTATATACTTTTTTTTTTTTTTAGATGGTGTCTCACTCTGTCGCCCAGGCTGGGGTGCAGTGGCCCGATGTTGGCTCACTGCAACCTCTGTCTCCCGGTTCAAGCTATCCTCCCATTTTAGCGTCCCAAGTAGCTGGGATTACAGGCGCCTGCCACCACGCCTGGCTAATTTTTGTATTGTTAGTAGAGATGGGATTTCACCACGTTGGTCAGGCTGGTCTTGAACTCCTGACCTCAGGTGATCCGCCCGCCTTGGCCTCCCAAAGTGCTGGGATTACAGGCATGAGTCACCATGCCCGGCCTTACATACTCTTTTCAGTCAAAAATTTAAATAGTGTTAAAATAGCTGGGTGAGTCCCACATTCATCTGAAAAAATGGTGGGGAGTGATCCAGATCTGTGTCGCCACTCTAACCCTAATAGCTAATGACAAGTGTTTAAGAGGGGAACTGACATCACTACAGCGGCACACAGGGGCCAGGGAGGCAGAATGTCTCCAAGGGTCCCAAATGAACTGGTGGAAAAAAAAAAATTGTATATATTAAAAAAAAAAAAAAAAAGAAACAAAAGGCTACTGGCTTTGATGGCCGGGACAGCTGTTAAGGACTGCCAGCCCCCATCAGCTCCCTCACCCGCCCTGCAATGAAAGTTTGGGACAGCAGCATGATGGGTGGCCTTACAGTGCAGGCCAACAGTCTATGGATATTTCCAATTAGCAGCTCAGCTACCCATCCACTGCCACCACCACCACCTCCTCCTTTTTAACAGAGGGCTCTTTTCTGCTTTTGACTTCCTTCTTCCCAGTACACACTTGCTCACTGTGTAGGACAGTGTGGCTCTTTCTCTAAATTTTTAGAAACTCTGTTGCTGATGTCCAGCTTGGCCTGTCTGCTCAGAAGCAAGTGGGCCCATTTGAAAGGGAGGTTGGGACAGGAGTAATACTCAATACTAGCATTTTGCTAAGTGGGTCACCAAAGCTTTCACCCTAAGCCTGGACTTCATCTTGCTGTCTATATTGTCACTGCACTGTAGCCACACACTCCCAAGAACACACCTAGAGTTGAACAAGCAGTTTTCTTCTCCTTGCAGGCGGAGGAAACACATACCATGGGCATAGAGGCGGTGATGGGGCGGGGGCTCTCAATAAGAGGGTGCGAGAAAGGACAACTTAGAGGATTTGCACCTGGGTATGTTAGAGGCACCCCGGCAGCGATAACCTGTCAGGTGAGAATGACCCCATATGTCAAGTGCACCTGAATGTGTGTTTGGAGTTCCCAGCATGGCCAACCAGAGAGTCATTTCTTATCCATGGGGAACATCTGAGCTTCTGGCCTGGCCAAAGCAGCGTGGGTCCTGAAGGGGATTGAGGCCCTTTGTTTAGGGTAAATGAAGGTTGCCAGGTTGTTAGGGGGAGGGTGTTCTCCTGTTGAACCCACTGCCACTGGATCGTCCCCGTATGTAAGTTACCAGTAAACTCTGTCTCTGAGTCTCTTCTTTGGCCCCTTGAACCTGGTGTCATCCCTACTGAAGTTAATAGGCATCTGACACGACACTGTGTCAGGTGGTTTTGGGGAGCGTTTAGGGAAGCCAGGCGTTGCTCTGGATTGGAAGCTGGTGCGGGGGGTGGGGGTGGGGGGAATTCTATGATTGGATGGTTTAACAAATGTTCTCTAGAAGCAGAGAAAATTAGAGCCAGGCTACAGCTGTAGTTGGTAAAGAAGCAGCAGTCACTCATATTAGCCAGGATTGGGGGCTGAGGTGGTGTTTGGTCACATTTGTGGTTTGGACAAGGCTTATGTTTTCTCCGTGTTCAGACATGATTACAGAGTGGTCTTGTTTGTGTTTTGTACCCTCCTTGTCATAGAGTGGCCTTGCCTGATGTTGGTGTTCTCGGGAGTCGTTTCTGTTCAACAGGACACCCAGGCACAACTGTGAGTGCCTGGCCAGCTCCGTGAAGGCAGGACTGCTTTACTCTTTCTCAGTGTTACTTTTCTGGCAAGAGCAGTCAGCGGCAGGCTGCAGGACACGAATCCACGATATCCACATTTTCACCATTGGCAAGACTGTCTCAAGAATGCAGGCTCTAGTCGGACTAGGGTAAATCTAGTCTCTGCTGAGTCTTTTGTTGCAGGACGAGTTGCTGACGTGTCTGATAACAGCTGTACAGTATTTAAGACTCTGCACAGGATCCACTGGTCGACTGTAACACAATTACCACAACAACATGATTATTAGTCCTGAAACAGGCCTGGAAGCCAAGGGCCTAGATTATAAAACTCAGGTAATGAGAACATGTTCCCAAATCCAAATAGATACTCACAGCTCAATTGGAGTGTTTAAAAGAGGCCTCGAGCAGGATTATGTTACTGGTAAGTAGGACGTGCATTGGGAACATCCTTGCAATAACTCCTAATGTTACCCCAACAATGTTGGTTCCATATCGAGGCCAATTTAACTCTGATGTTGTGCTAACATCATGAAGCATTTGTTGTGGTTTTTTTTGTTTGTTTTTTTAGACAGTCTTGCTCTGTTACCCAGTCTGGAGTGCAGTGGCATGATCTCGGCTCACTGCAACCTCCACTTCCTAGGTTCAAGTGATTCTCATGCCTCAGCTTCCCAAGTAGTTGGGATTACAGGCGTGTGCCAAGCCCAGTTAATTTTTGTATTTTAGGTGGAGATGGGATTTTACCATGTTGACCAGGCTGGTCTCCAACTCCGGGCCTCAAGCAATCCACCTGCTTTGGCCTCCCAAAGTGTCAGGATTACAGGCATGAGCCATGCCCAGCCAATGACGCATTTGTTAAACTCCACTTTTGTTATGGCTGTCTGATAAGTTAAGCAAAGCATCTCAGGATTTTCATCCCTACTTTGTACCTTGCAGGAAACAAGGTGAGGTACAAGTGCTGGGGATGAGATTTCAAGCCTGAGCCCTAGGGCCACCTGTGCTGCCAGACACAAGCTGCAGAGCATAACCAGCTACATAGTTTGCAGGCCAAGTGCAAAATAAAAACATGGAGCCCCTCGTTCAAGAATTAAGAATTTCAAGATGGCAACAGAGAATTAAACCAAATGCAGGGTCCTTCTGACGTGAGGCCCACACTGGTGCTGAGTGGGGAAAGGCACACCTGAGGCCCATGGAGCCCTACTGCCCCTGCAACATGCAGGACAAAGACAACTCTATTGTCAGTGACCTGACTCCAGAGGAATGGCAAGAAGTGGAGAACATTCTAGGAAGAAAGAGGAGCTGCAGACTGACATAGATAACTGAAGGATGAGAATTGCAATAGCTAACAAAATTGAGAACCTAGGACACACAGAAGAAAGGAAGACATGCAGAATAACAAACAGGTGGCCCATGGGTAGACAAAAATTAATGCAGGTCCTAGAAAAAGATCCAGTTCTTAACAGAGAAAGGTCTGTTCAACAGACCCTTGTTGAACACTTGTGAAGGCACTGCCCAGTTTTTGTAGAAGGGTGAAGAACTCAGCAAAACAGCTGTTGCCTGGGGGAGAGATGAATTTAATATCCAGGTTCTTCGTTGCTTTTGTGGAGGCCCATGAGTTCATTGATTTAAATTTTGTCTAACCATTACAGCAATTCCTGTGGCCATGAGAGGCACAAAAGCCTGACAGGATGATGGAGGCATTTGCCCAGGGATGTTGTCAGTGCAATAAAGAATAATTTTAGTTCAGACGCTCATGCTCTCTCCCCTTTGCCATTATTTTGTTGAACAGCAGCCATAACCCCAGTGTCAAAAATAAGCCCACCGCAAAGGCTATTGCCATGAATAGAGGCGCCAGTGATGGAGTCCTGCTAGACGAGGAACTCCGGAGTCCGCAGTTTCCTAATTCAATATTAACAGCAATGCTGTCCTCTTACGGGCTTCTCCCTCTTTCTTATTTTGCGTGAAAACGTAGACAACGTAAATGCCCAAGCGCTTTCTATTCAGTCCTCAAATGCAAAGCAGACCCTTGCTAATAATGGTAATAATCCGAATGGGTTTAACTGCAGCATTGTAAGAAAAGCCAGGCAGTACTCTTAGACTACAGGGGTGGATCTCATTTGATTTTCCCGACTCCGCCAGGAAATAAGAGGGGCCTTGGCTTGGGGAGAGGTGTGTGGGGAAGCGTAGGGGGTGGGCCCCCCGGAAGTCCTGCTGCGCTGTTTAAACCTAAGGTGACCTAACGGATGGCGGGAGCGGCCGCGCGAGCCTTGGAGCAGGGCGCGGCCATTGGTGACGCACGCCGGGGAGCACGGCGCCCACGTTTCCACCATTAGCGAGGCCTCACACCCGGCGCTCCAAGTTCGGGGCTGGAGGCGTCCTGGCTTCCTCCCTCCCGGAGGCGGGACCGGCCCCGCCCCCGCGCCCCGGGTCTCTCCCGGCGGCCCCTCCCACCTCCTAGTCCTGGCCTCCCCGGGCGCAGCGCACTCCCCGCCGGCCGCAGCCTGACACGCCGCGCGGCCCCCCAGTCTCCCGCGGCCGCTCCCCCAGGCATGGCACAGGGCCTCGCCTCACTATGGCAGCAGCACGGCACAGCACGCTCGACTTCATGCTCGGCGCCAAAGGTGAGGGCGCCCGCCGCCACCTGCGCGGCCATCCCCGCCGCTCCCGCCGCCTGGCGGGCTGGGGCCGGGGTCGGGCGGGGCGTGCGCCGCGGGTCGAACAATGCGGGCGGCCCGCGCGGCGCCGCAGTCTCCCGGGCTGCCGCGCACAGCGCGCTGCGGGGCCGCGTGCACCGGCGGCCGGGCGGAGGCCGCGCTCCTGCTCGCGCCACGCTCGGTCCCGGCCGCAGCTCGGGGCCTGGAGGGGCAGTCCCGGGTGCCCGCCAGCCGCGCCGCCCTTCCGGGCCCTGGCCGTCCACCCGCGCTCCCACGCGGGCTCGCCGCCTTCGCACTCCCGCTCGGGGATTCCCCGGGCTGCCGGGCGCGGGCAGACCCCCCATGGGACGAGGGTTGTAGGGATTGCGGCGGAGCGAGGCGTGACCCGCGCGGCGAGCCCGGGCTGGGGGCGTGCGCCGAGCGGGGCTGCCCGCGCGACCTTTTCCTGTTCTTGCAGGCGGGTAAATTTCCCTCTTGGGGGCGGGGGTTTCCCCTCGCAGGGAGATGGGGCTGTGGAAAGGTCTGCGGACGCGCAGCGCTTGCAGAATTCTCAGCCGACTGCGTAGGAGACGGATACCCCGGAAAGGAACTGGGGGACGGGAAAAGGAAACGATTATTATTATTGGGGGTGGGGAGGCATGAGGTCTGGGCGCGGGAATCGTTTACACCCCGAATCGGGGAGCTATCAAAAGAGTCCGCCGGGCGCGGTGGCTCACGCCTCTAATCCCAGCATTTTGGGAGACCGAGGCGGGCAGATCACGAGGTCAGGAGTTCGAGACCACCCTGGCCAACATGGTGAAACCCCGTCTCTTCTAAAAATACAAAAATTAGCCGGGAGTGGTGGCGGGCGCCTGTAATCCTAGCTACTCGGGAGGCTGAGGCAGGAGAATCGCTGAAACCCGGGAAGCGGAGGTTGCAGTGAGCCAAGATCGCGCCATTGCACTCCAGCCTGGGCGACAGAGCAAGACCTTGTCTCAAAAAAAAAAAAAAAAAAAAAGCCGACCAGAAGAGAGAGGCCTGCTAAAGTCGGAACTGTGTGCAGGAAATTTGAAGGGGAGTGATACTTTGCAGGCTTCTTTTTTCGGGATGCCTCTGTCGTGGGGGTGGGAGTCGCGGGAAAGATAGAACTGCCCTTTCTTTTTCTGGTGGCTTTTAAACCTGTGACTGCCGCAGAGTTGAATCTGCACTTCCCATAGGTTCCACTTGGAGTGTCTCGCTCATACCTTGGTTTTCCCACAATTTTCTTCGAATTGGATAGAGCAGGCTTTTCTCTTACCATTTTTAACACTGACTTTTTCTTTCTGAATTTCTGAGTACTCACTTTGCATTTTCTCCCTCAAATTTAAAGGATCTCCGAACGCGCAAGATTTAGTAAAGACTGAGGATTTGGAGCAACACCTGGGTTTGAGTCTGGCTTCTTCCTGATGGGCTCTGCGTGTGACCATGGGTTTATGTTAACCTTTCTGAGTCTTCCCCGTCCATTAAAAAGAAAAAAAAAAAAAACAGTGTACACCTGTTCGGGTTTTTACTCTTAAGGGAGTAGCTGTGGAGCACACTGTAGGGTTTTTAAGCAATATCAGTGTATTTAGGTGGTCTGAAGTGACTTGGAGAAAACAAAGCATGTTAATTTTAGTCCCCACATTTCTTAGGTAAGGATGTAGGGCAGGGAGACTGCTAGAGATAAAATGGTGCTTGAGTGGTGGAGCTGAAGAGCCAAGGTTTCATTAATTACCCTGCCAGCCCTAGGGCTGAGTGGTTAATGAAAGCTCTGGCATACTGAATTTAGCGGTGAGGAGAAATAGTGTATTATGGTCACCCAACTAGTAAGGGGTGAGTCTGGGAAGTGTCCCTATTGTGAGCACCTTGTGAACACTCACCTGTATTTATCGTCCATGGATTTTCTTAACTTTTTTTTTTTCCTCTGAGATGGAGTCTCACTCTGTCGCCCAGGGTGGAGTGCAGTGGCACGATCTCAGCTCACTGCAACCTCCACCTCCTGGGTTCAAACAATTCTTGTGCCTCAGCCTACCAAGTAGCCGAGATTACAGACTTGAGCCACCATGCCCAGCTAATTTTTGTAATTTTTTTTTTTTTTTTTTTTTTTTTAGTAGAGACGGGGTTTCACCATGTTGGCCAGGCTGGTCTCAAACTCCTGGCATCAAGTGATCCGCCTGCCTCAGCCTTCCAGAGGGCTGGGATTACAGGCATGAGCCACCGTGCCCGGCCTGTTCATGGGTTTTCTTTTACGCTTTGAGGAGGGTGATCTCAGCGTGGGGCCCAAAGACTCTGGCACTTCCCTTTGTCCTTAAACCTCCTTGGCCAAATTTAGATTTAGCCTCTTGAAGTGTTGGTTCACAATGGGATGTTTTTGTTGTTTTGTTAAAGTGGGAAAAAAGCGAATGAAGAAAAACTAAGAGATTTTTAACACTTTGGGCTGACACTGTCCAGGAGAACCATGGATCCCTAGTGTGGGAGGCAGGAGGAGAAACTGGCCTTTTCTAAATTGGAAAGGTGTGGAAGTGGCATCTTAATAATTTAGTTGTGCAAAGAGGAAGTAAAAAGATTGATGATAAAGACGTGTGTAGAGCAGAATAGAACCTTAAGAGGGAAAGGTGAAACATAAGCTGTTAATATTTTAATTCCCCGTCTGTTCTTAAAGATGAGAAAGCTTTGATGGCAAGGTGAACATTCTAGAAAGAAATATTACGTGCGTGGGAGGGTGGGGAATGTGTGTATGTACGCATCTGTCAGACCTTGAGTCATTACAAGTGTTCTGGGCGTAAGAACTCCAATTCATATTGTATTCTCTCCCATCACTTTATTTGGGGTGAAGCACGTCGACCTTACTGTCAGTATCCACATTTGAAAAATAAAGAGATCGTGGCTAGATTGGGATCTAAGTTCGTGTAGTTTTTAGTAAGGGGAGCTTGGTGAAAAATCGACTTGTGAGGTCTCCAAAAACATTTAATTGATAATGAGTCAAAAGGCATTACTCTTGGCATGTGAATATTGGACGTGACTCAAGGGTGAGTCAAATGCCTGTGGAGCCTGGATTCATGTTCTTCTTTTCCCTGTTTGTCAGTAATCCTTTCTAATGTTCCAGTTCCATGATGTGATTTTAGTGGAATTAAACTCGAACCACTTAGTTATTATGTTGTTACTGTGTTGGGAGCGCAGCAGCCACCAGCCCACCAAGAGCAACTGTAGATGGGGCTCGGTGGTGCTGGTTTAGTGTTCTGGCTGATGAGGTGTAACCCAGGACATTTTTATTTTTGCTTTTAACAAAACAACTCATCTGTGGTCATCTTGTAAGTGAAGTATTGGACTCTAAGGACTCTTGAGCCCAAAAACCATTTTGTGACTTAGCCTGAGGCTAACAGGAATAAACTTGTCCCATGTTTAGATAGTGTAGGCATATCTGAGCTGGTGGAGGAATCGTGGTCTGTTCCTAGCCCCATGTGCTAGGCAGGATGCCTGGGTATCCAGAGGGTGAGTGAGAGGCCGGGCGCGATGCCGCATGCCTGTAATCCCAGCACTCTGGGAGGCTGAGGTGGGTGAAGTGCTTGAGCCCAAGAGTTCAAGACCAGCCTGGACAACATGGGAAAAACCTGTCTCCAAAAAAAAGCCAGGTGTGGTGGGTTTTCTGTACCTGTAGTCCCAGCTAGTTGGGAGGCTAAGGCGGGAGATCCCCTGAGCCCAGGAAGTCGAGACTGCACTCCAGCCTGGACAATGGCATGAAACTCTCTCAAAAACAAGGGCCAGGTGTGGTGACTCACGCCTGTAATCCCAGCACTTTGGGAGGCCGAGGTGGACAGATCACCTGAGGACAGGAGTTTGAGACCAACCTGGCCAACATGATGAAACCCCATCTCTACTAAAAATACAAAAATCGGCTGGGAGTTGGTGGCCCTTGCCTGTAGTCCCAGCTACTCTGGAGGCTGAGGCAAGAAAATTGCTTGAACCAGGGAGGTGGAGGTTGCACTGAGCCCAGATTGTGCCACTGCACTCCAGCCTGGGCTGCAGAGAGACTCTCAAAAAAACAAAAACTCACACACAAAAACGGTGGTGAGTGAGTGTCTATAGCCTCTTCTCGCCATGTTGGAGTGGAATGTCTCTAACAGGCCAGCCAGCTCTGAAAAGGTCTGGCAATGCCACGTCCATTTTTTCCCCTGGGCTGGGCATATCTTTTGAAGGCAGACCTCCACCAGGGTCTGCATCCTGGAGACAGCTCTGGTACATGGTAGATATTTGGTATATGCCGATTAAATAGGTCAAATTTATGTTACGGTAAAGGTGGAATGCTGGTTCACGTCAATTAGGGGAAAGTGAGACACTCAATTACCTTGTAGAATTATGAGGATGGTCCTGAATTCAGAAACATGGCAGATACTGTTAGGTCTGTCCTTTGGACCATTGCTATATGATTTTTGCAGGGAAACAAAGTGATTTGTGTCGCTCAAATTCACAAATTTTATAACAAATCTTGTTTAATAATTTAAGAACAGAAGGCTACTTGGGAATTATGGGCTTAGCAGAGAAGGTTTGGGGTAGGGGGTTCTGTTGTACCTTTGACCCTCATCAGAGAAGCCTGTGGACCTCTTCTCAGAGTACGAATTTTAAATGCATACAATAACCCAATTAAAAATACCGCGTTAAAAATACAAAACCCCCAGATGTGTGGTGTGGTAACATGTGCTTCGCTTCTCCCCCACTCCCCACCCCCCAGTCTTGCTCTGTCGCCCAGAGCTGGAGTGTAATAATGGCATAATCTCACTGCAACCTCCGCCTCCCAGGTTCAAGCAATTCTCCTGCCTCAGCCTCTGGAGTAGCTGGGGTTACAGGCAGGCACGCACGCACCACCACGCCCGGCAAATTTTTGTATTTTTAGTAGAGACGAGGTTTCACCATGTTGGCCAGGCTGGTCTCGAACTCCTGACCTCGTGATCCACTCGCATTGGCCTCCCAAA